TTACACCCACAGCACAGCACTGAAGGTGCCTGCACTGGTTTGGCTCAGCTCCTGTCTCATTTTGCACTGCTGACCCTAAGGCTCCAACACTTGGTGCTCAGGGAGAGGTCACCACACTGCTAATCAGCCTGGCCCACTCTCCAAGCAGTCTCTGCTCACCTCTGATAAGAGAAAAGGGGCCTGGCAGGGTGACCCAGCCAACACAGCGAGCCCAGAGCTCTGCAGGGACACAACCACAGTGCTGCAAAGCTGAGAGCACAGCCTGGAGCCGCACGTGCAGCAGATGCATCAAGGCCCCTCTGATCCTGCCCAGGACATCCTCCCCTCCTGCACCCACCAGATCACTTGTTTTGTGGGAAGGTAAAATGAAATGCAGCGCTGAAAGGAATCCTTAAGCACAACAGCATAAGCATGCACTGGGGGTTTGACACAGTGGGCACGTAGTGCTGAAGGAAGCATCCATACCTGCCAAACGTTCCTTTGGAGGAGAAGTGTACTTCCAAAAATAGTAATTAAAAAAAAAAAAAGACAAAAAAACCAAACCCTTACTATTGCTTGGTAGGAAAAGAACCCAAACAATTGCTCCTCAGCTTCTCCCTAACTGAAAGCACTTTTGCTTTGGACAAGTTGCCTGTTTGTGTACCAGATGCAAATTGGAAAAGGAAAATTAAAACACAAGAAAGCAGAAACTTAACTTCGAGTTGAAGGAATTACTCACATACTTCAAATGCCTTCTTCCTATGAACCATTTCTAACCTTGGCCACAATCCTGAAGTCTCTCAGCATGTTTAACTCACAATTCTGGCATAACAAACAAACAAACTACACCACAGAAGGAAATGGTTTTCTAAAATGCGATTTCAAGAGAAGAATGAGAAAGCATCCGTGCAACATGAAACCTATTCTCAAGTCCCATCTGCAGCTGAGCTGCACCCTTCAGTCTGATCCAAAGCTCTCACGCACACCCAGCGCTGCTCTTATGAGCAGCTCACACCCAGTTCTGCTCATGGCAGCTCCTCAGCAGTGCACAACCCCTGCACCTAACACAGACAGCAAGTCAAGATCACATGCCCGTCCAAAACTATAAGGTCCACTGGCTCCATTTCCAGTCAGTTTTGTTCCATGTCCCCAGCAGTGCCCTTTGGATTGCATAGCTCTGTTCAGGATGGGTTGCCAGCACAGCCTGACTCTTGGAGGGGCAGAGATTGCAGATGGGCAATGTTAATGCTATCACAGCAATGCACGCACGCAGGAGGCTGAAGGCAGGGAGGCAGCAGGTAGCTAAGCAATAGGTTCCTCCAGAAAAATGGTTGCCTTGTGCATTTTGTTCATAGTATTTTGTTTTACTGTTTTACTACAAAAAAAGGAATGGAAAATTCCTGTTCCAAACGAGGCAGTCACACACACTGACTGCACACCCATTCCTAGATGTATATCTCTGCACTGCCCCACAAGTAGAAACACCACGTTTGCTTTCTATACACCCTGCACGTAGATGTGTTTGGACACCAGATGAGCTGCACCCTATGGAACTCCTGCTTGCTGCCCCTCAGGCAGCCTGCAGCACCCAGCCAGGTTCAGTGCAACGCATGCAGGGTGTGCATCCGCCTACAGCAACTCTGAGCTGCCTGCTCCTCATGTCAGCACACTCAGGGACAAGGTAGCAGAGGGGCTTCAAGGCTGACAGCGGCTGCAGTGAATTCTGGCTCATTAAGGCCACGTTTTACATGCAGAGGCACTGCTAGGCTGAGCTCTGATTCAAAGAGACACTTTCAGAATTCAGGCCCAGATGTAAATGCACAGCCTAGAATTTTTTTTTCCACTTTTTTTTCCTTACATTACCAATTCAATTTCCCATCTAACCCAGTTAAAATTCGACACCTTATCCCTCAACCCCCAATCCTCCAGAGCAACCAGCTGCACTCGGGCGGCCCAGCAACCCTCCAGGATCCTCCCACGTCACTTACTAGCGCAAAAAAACCAACCCCACCACCACCACCAACAGCGCGAGGCTGCAGCTAAGCAGACACTGACCTACTTGGGGCTGTGAGTCAGCTTAAAACGGCGCACCCCTGAGCAGAGAAAGAAGAGAAACCATCAGCAAACTGCGCAGCTTTGCTAGGAGGAGCGCCGCCAGCCCCCCCGGCCGCCCACACCGAATCCCCGCAGCCCCTCCGCGTCCCCGTAGGAGCAGGTGGGCGCCGGGCGAGGCGCTCCGCCCGCCCCACGTACCGGCTCGGAGCAGGGCCCCGGCTCCCAGCGCAGCCAGGGCGGTGCCGAGGCTCCGCCAGCCCCCGCCAACCATGGTGCGCTCGGCAGCGGCGCGCCCCGCCCGGCCCCGGTTACCTTCGCTCCCCGCCCAGCGGCCGGGTCCGGGGAGGGGGGAGGCGGGCAGCCCCGCTCGGCCCCGGCCCGGAGTGCAGCGGGGGCGGTGCTGAGCTGCCGCCCGCCCCCTGTCCGCCCAGGCGATTCGCTAAGCCGGCTCAAAGGGGCTGGGTAAGGAGGCTCACGCCTGTGCTGGGGGAGGGAGCGAAAGGCAGCAGGAAGGAAGGAAGGAAGGACGGACGGAAGGAAGGAGTGCGGGTCCGGAGGAGGAGCGCGGAGCTCGGCGGGGTTTGTGCCTCCGGTACGGCAAGGGCGGCCCAAGGGCACCCGGAGAAGGAGAGCGGCGGGGCTGATGGCTTCCTCCAGGCCCCTGGCACGCTTCTGGGAGTGGGGCAAGAATATCGTCTGCGTGGGGCGCAACTACGCCGAGCACGCCAAGGAGTTGGGGAACGCGCTGCCCGCCGAGCCCCTCTTCTTCCTCAAGCCCTCTTCGGCTTACCTGCGGGAAGGCTCGCCCATCCTGCGGCCCTACTACTGCACCGACCTGCACCACGAAGTGGAGCTGGGGGTGGTGATCGGGAAGAGAACCCAGGCCGTGTCCCAGGAGGCTGCTATGGAGCACGTGGCAGGCTATGCCCTGTGCCTGGACATGACCGCTAGGGACACGCAGAAAGAGTGCAAAAAGAAGGGTTTGCCCTGGACCTTGGCCAAGGCCTTCAGCACATCGTGCCCCGTCAGTGAATTTGTGCCCAAGGAGAAGATCCCAGACCCTCACAAGCTGAAGATCTGGCTCAAGGTGAATGGACAGTTGAGGCAGGAGGGAGAGACCTCCTCTATGATCTTCTCTATCCCGCACCTGATCAGCTACATCAGTGAAATCATCACCCTGGAAGAAGGAGATTTGATTCTGACAGGATCTCCCAGCGGAGTTGGGTCTGTAGAAGAAGATGATGAGATAGAGGCAGGGATAGGTGATATCCTGTCCATGCGGTTCAAGGTGGCCCAGCAAACACGCCGGTCCTAAGCAGCAGCTGGGCTGGGACCTCTGTCTGCAGAGGAAGAGCCTTTTGGGGAGCACTGCGTGAACAAAGAGATGCACTGCACCCACTGTCCTGTGTGTTAAATTTACATGGCCTGAGCATCTCCTGGACTCCTGGTTATCAAAGCTGTGCTGTAGCTCATGAAGACCTGTGGCTAAAACAATCCCATTTCCACTTTGGCCTCCAGAGAGGCTGTAAAGCTGAGGTTAGTCCAAGAGTCCAACCCAGCCTAAGGCAGCTGGTTGATACCTAAACTGTACCTTGGAACTTTGTATTCAGCTGTACTGGGGAAATAAGAACAGTAGGAAATACAGCAGCAGGACTATCGCTGTGTGCTCTTCTGTTCACGCTTTGAGCTTTGCCAATGTCCTGTCTCAAAATAAACATAAGAACTGAAGTATTAAAATGGTGATGTACAGAAAGTGATCTGTGGTCTTGGTAAGGCCTGCAGATGTCCAGCTTCTGTGTCCCACCCACACTTGGATTCCTTGCACAGGTGCAATAAAGTGGCAAGAATGCACTTTATAAAGTGGAAAAATAAAAGTTTAACCTGAGGACTGGAATCCACTCAGGGTGTGCAGCTATGTGCTCTGGTGACTGTCGGCGTGGGGTCTTTCCAGCTTGGGGTGCTGCAGGGGCTCTCATGGGTGATCAGGCAGCAGTGAGAGGTGCTCACTCCTGGCTGCAGCAGCCAGCACTGGCTCCTTGTCGTCACTGGGAGCTGCAGTAGGAAAGAACTGTAATGAGACACAAGAAAGCCTGTGAGAAAGGAGTCTGGAAAATGCTGCATGTTTGTATCGTTACAGACTAAAACTGTAGATATTTGGTGGTTTTAACTGTAATTTTTACAGTAGGCCACCATTTTGAAAGTTGTACAATAGATTCACATGCTGGGAGGGGCTCATTTCAGTGGCTTTATTTCCAAGATTTAGGGTTATATTTTGCAAGTATATGAGCTTCGAGGCAGTGTGCTTAAAGAAGGATGTAGCTGCTTTTCACATTTCTTTGGAAGATATCCTAAGGCACAACAGTTGTGCATGCCCCCACAACACCCCCTCCACCAGGCACTAATCCTGCCAACATGTACACTGCAGATTGCTGCCTTTTAGCTTCAGTGAGTGGCTTAAAAGCACGTGTAAAAGGTCTCTGTTTGATAATTATAAATACTATGGCCTAAGGAACTGAGGCCAGCTGAAACACAACATTTAGCCATGACATCTGAATAGAGCAAGCCCCTGGCTTTTAGAAGTCAAAGTGCCCCTTGTATGCTTTGAAAGTGAGAACTGTTGGAAATCGACTAATATAGAAATAGATTAACAAACCAACCAACCCCTGGAGAATGGGAAAATGTACACACCTGGGTTCTTTATGTTCAGCCAAGAACATCTATGCTGGAGACGAATCTTGTCATGCCTGCCACCTACAGTCTTAGCCTGAGTATCTGATTGTCAGACGTCCCTGCTGATTACTTTGTTCTAAGAACAAAGTCTTAGGTCTGTCCAGGTCTGCCCTGGAGAAAAGAGACTTGCAAAAATCTTTGCTATTTCCTTTGCATGCCTCTGCAGTTGGTAAAAGCTTTGTGTTTGGACTCACCAACAGATACCACAAACGCATCAGTATTTGAAAGTGGGCCTTTATTTACTTCAATAACACAGAAGTAGCACAGCAGTCAAAAACAAAGTTCAAGAGATCTGTCTGGTACTAATTGTCATTTCTGATTTTTCAAAACTTTCCCATAGTTCCCAAACTGAGCAAACAAGGCTTCCACCTCCCTTCTAAAGGGTGGAATTCAGTAGAACTAACTTTTAGGCTGTGGACCTACTACACTTTTCCAAGTATAATCATCTTAAAAACACCACAGAAGCCCAATTACAACAAGTAGTAATGCATATTCCTTAGCAAAATATGGCGACAACAACCTTCTACCTCTAAAAACATAGTGAATAGATGGCCTTTTCCCAGCTGTTACCAAGCCACGTGCTGCAGCTTCTTTCCCAGCAGGCTCTGACTTGCTTCTATAGGATTCGCTAGTTTGCACGAGAGTATATTTGCTTTCAGACCAGTTCTCCAATTGGGTGACAAGGTAATCTGCAAAAATGAATAAAGGACTTTGTTTTTACTGGTGTATCAATGAACAGATGTTAAGTATCTCTTAGTACCAAAGCAAAATGCTTTCCTGAAAGCAGAAGCAGAGGGTGAAGTGGATTCAAGAGTAAGAACAGTTTTGCTAAGAAGAGGAAGTTTTAAAATAGGGAATCAGCTTAGGGTCATCCTAAAATAGGCAGTTCTATGAAAAAAAGGAATCCAATATAGGGTAAGGCATATTGGAATATTGGAACAAATATGTACAAAAACTGCTGCTTATTTTGAAAAATTCAGTAGAATTGACAGGGAATTTTTCAGTATTAAACATACTACCTAATAATAATTTACAACAGTAGCTGTTTTCCATTAGATACCAACTTTAAAATAAATCTTGCTCCGTTCTAGAAGAAGCTGCCATTTCAGTGCAGTCCTCTTGTCTTCTGGTAGAGTGAGGAACTCCTGGACCTGTTAATAACATGACATCACAGCACACTTCAGCACATAGCTGTAACATCTCCGCAATAAAATGATGATGAAAAGAGGATTTAATGCATTTTTAAGCTGTACTTTTCAATTTTAACACAGTCTTTGATACATGTACATAACAGATAAATCACACTGAGTTGCAGGGGATTGCAACCACCTTCTCTGGGAAGTGCTGATCAATTAAAGTAATATTCTGAGTAGGGTATTCATCACTCTTACATTTAACAAGTTTCTTATCAGCAGCCAATGACTTCTACGTTTTTACTGACATGTATATGAAGAACTTGCATATATAAAGAACAGTTAGAGGTATTTGTAAGATTCATTTCATCTGAGCTGTGGAGCAAGATAAGAACAACCTCATTTATTTCTACTTACAGTGCAGCCTAAGGTTTCCTCAGCTATGCAGTCAGAGAGGTAACAAGAATAAAGAGTGCCTGTATGATCTGTCAGATCAACAAGGATGTCAAAGCTCACAAAGGTGGACTTTGAATCTGGAGAGATGTCACCACAGAAGTTGCACGTGTTTGACGTTTCATTCACCACAAAACGGCACACTGAGCTGAAACACAGAAAGGTAATTAGTGCATGCAAGTCCTTCTTGCTTGAGCCTGTTCTTTAGGCTGAGATTGCCCAAGAGGCTCTTAAAAAAATAAATAGATCAAATCATCATCTACACTTTCAAGTCCATGTGAGAAAAAAAAACAACCTCTTTCTCTTTCCTTCCTCCAGGACCAGAAAGTCCTTCATAAAGCCAGCTCCTCTTCCTTGCTGATGTTGTAAATTCTATGCAACAGAAATTCAGATGCCAACTGCTAGAGCAGCTTTATTTTTTGTCCAGAACTAGACTAAATACCGTTCTATCTAATTTGGGTCAAGGGAAGAAGAAAAAAACATTCTAAAACACAAATTTAGAAGAAACAGTTGCTTACCATCTGCTGCGAATAACTTTAGATACATTATCATCAATGTCCAGCATGGAAATGTAACCATAAATAATGCCAAACACTGGTTCAGGTTTTCCATCACTCTGTAAAGCTTTTTCTTTCAGCTGCTTCACAGTATAAACATCAACTATAGTCTCCACTACAAATTTAAAAGACATGTGAGTCTAAGAAGAAACAACACAGAAGAGCAGCAACATGAAAAGGACCTTAAGAAGAGATGATCAAAAGCATCAGAAAAGCAGTGCACGTCTTCCTTTTGGAGAAGGCTCATCATTGTGGGAGGGAAAAAAAGAAAAAAAAAAAAAGAATAAAATCAAGAAAATCTCATAGTTAATATTTGTATCTCCTCAAAATGAGTTTTCGACCAAAACTTGCAGTTATTCTCACGTAAGCCAGAAAAGAGCATGTCAGGCCTCACACTTGCATAGTCACTAAGCATGGAGATACGTAAGTGATAACTTAAAGAACAGCCCTGTTAACAGTCCAGACTTGAAGTATGCAGCCAGGCTATGGCTTACTTTCTAAATAGAGTATGAACTTGAAATTTGAGCTGCACCATGAAACGACTTTATCTAGTTTCATAAAATCAGTGTTTGGATCCACACTTACAGTTAATGGACTCTTTCGACTGCTCCTCCATTTTATCATGCAAAGCTCCTGATTGTGCACTCTCTCTTATGAAGCTGAACAGAATATTTGCTTCTGCAGTTTCTTGGGAAAAAAAAAAAAAAAAAAAAAAGAAAGAAAAAAAGAAAAAAAAACATTCATTTTTAAGTAATAAATATATGTAATATACAGATAGATCAAAAATTGTACAACTTTTTTAGTTCAGGTAGAACCAACAGCATGCCTCTTGGAATTGGCCAAGAAATGCATTTCTCTTGTTTTCTTTTAACTATTTAGCAGTAGAATGTATGCTTCATTCATACAGTGGAATGTATGAAGGCTGCTTAGATTAGATAGACAGACAGACACATAATAGTATTGTGGAAGCCAAAAGCTTGGTCACTATATGACAGACAAGAAGCAGGAAGCTTTCTGAGGCAAACTGGTAGAAATCAGACCTCCAACAAATTCACTCATGCTTTCTTATCTGTAGTGATTACTAAAATTAAAATGATATGTCAGCAGCTCTCACCTGGATTAGTTGTAATAATGGTCTTTGATATCACAGTTGCAGTCATACAGTTCCTGAATTTGTCAAAATTTACTCTCACATCTGATGCAAATATTACTGGGCATGAAATAAAAAGTCTGTTACTTTTGAATACAGATTGCATTAGGAATTACAGAAGAAAAAAAAAACACCAGGGAAAAACAGAAAATTATACCTGTTTCTCGTGGGATCCAACTCTGTGCAAGCTGGATAGATTCATTATCCCAACTAAACCAAAAGAAGTTAATGTGTCAGAACGTTTCTGAAAAAGCACCAGTGCTTTTAAGTACAAAACTGCTAAATAATACAGTTATAACTAAATTGCTCAAAGAGAACAATTCCCTCATTACATGCACATGCAAACAAAATGAAATACTGTTTACCCACATGCATTTAGTTCACAGCCAGCCAGGATGCTTTAAGTATGGCCCAATACAGTCCCTGTTTAATCCCATGCCACATAAGATAAAATAAAGGGCTGTTAGACTGTTCAAAATAAACATCACACCTGGAAAAATAGTGCATTATTTCAAAGCTGAGCATCAAGTAATTTGCAACTAAAGCAAATCGGAGAGAAAGTAGCTGCTTGTCATCGGAGCTTCTGCTCTGGGAACAAGTTGTTTGCTGACATCACTAGGGCAGATGTTCAGCCAGCTTTCCAACACTGGAATCCTTGTAAATTGTGAATAAGACCAGAGTGAGGTCAGTAGTAGCCCTCAACAATGATGATTTAATGTTTAGGTCCCTTGACAAAATGTCATGCAGTTCCTCTTAAGTTTGGATGGCAAGAGCACTGGCAAAGCACAGCTTTGTTCTGTTTTTAATTAATTACAGAAAGACTTCAGCTCTTTACTTTTCACCTGGCATTGCTCAGCCGACTCTTCACCGATGGCCTATGAAATGTCTTCACTATCATGTCATTCACTGCTCAAGGACTCCTAAAAACCACACCTATCTGCTCTGCACTTCTAAATCCTGTTTGGCTTTAGAAATCAAGGATATTCCTTTTTTTTTTTTTTTTTTTTTTCCCCTCACTAGTTTGTGGTAGCAGTGAATGAACCTTTAAATGCCACGTTCTGGACAAGTGCAAAATTCTGAATTAAAAAAAATACAGCAATTTGGAACTAAGCTTCATTTTGCCATCTGTTAGCTAGCAGTCTGTAAGTCATACAACTAGACATGTAGGGTTACTCTATGGAGACTTTTTAAAGTCTCTATTTAGTGTCTATTGCTGCTTCATTACCACACAAATAACAAAGCATTTAAGACAGTATCATAAGCAGCTTGCATTTTATTCTTTTCCTGCTCCTGCATGAATGTATTTTAGTAAATTAAAACATATTTTACCATATTATTGGAAAGGACATCTCTGTTTCATCGTAGAGCTTTACTTCACACCTCTGACCTTTCCTTTTGTCTGAAGTTATAAAATACTTTGGCTCACCAACCTTTAAAAAGACAGAGGAGCAATATGTAAGAAGTAGCACTCTCAGTGTTTAGGAGTATAAGGTGATAACTTAAAACTTAACAGATGACTTTAAAAGTGGGGGGAGGGAGGAACTATACACAACTAAATAAAACCTATCCACCTATAGGTATAGGTTGTTATAAAATTAAGTATACTAACAGTAGTAATTTTAATTTAAAAGTAATTTCAAGATAAAGAGACACTTTTACTTTATAAAAATCAGCAGTTTATATATTTGCAAGTTATCTACTGCTTTCACATGCATGATTTCAAAAAGACTATTTAGAATATTTCCATTCCCTTCATTTCCTCCCTTGTGTTGCAGATGGAAACTTCAAGTAGCTCAGACTTCAGACCAGTTGAAATCACTGCCAACCTAAACAGCAGTGATCCCACTGCCTGAGTCCAAAAATCAGTACTCACATGAAGGCAGTGCAGTTACCCCTGCTAAGAAGAAAAGCACCAGTCTGATGGCGCCTTGACTTACTGACATTACAGCTGCAAGCACATTAAGAATTCTTCCATCAAGGCTCTGTCCATTTGCAGTGATATCACCCAGTGAATAATAATCCTGGGGGTCCTTGACAGGCAGGTGCAGCAGAGAAAGTAGCTTGGTGTCCATTTCGTAGCATGAAGAGGTTTTGACAACTGAATGATTTTCACTGATCAGTAATTTGTAGCAACTACATAGTAGGCAACACACACATGCACACAGAACAAACATCAATTAACATTTCACTTAATCAATTCATTAACAGTCTAGAATGTTGATTCAATTCATGGGGAAAAATCATTTGCCTTAAAGATGGATACATATTTCAACGTTTCAGTAATTTTTAACTATAAATGTAGACCTTTCCTCCTGCAGAAGATTTATGATTGTGTACTGAATGCTTATATAGAACTGGAAATCCAGAGAGCTGTGTAGAATATGTATTTTTAAATCTTTCAGTTCTTATCAATAAAGAAAAATGAAATAAGTTCTGAAATGGCTGTAATGCAGGTAATTGGCATTGTGACACAGTGAGACTACTGCAGTCAGACTGGATTTGGTAGCAGGTTTTCAAAAGAAATTCACCTATGACTTTAGTAATATCTTTACTATTTTTATTATTTCACGGCAAAGCTGTAATAAAAATTAAAATGTAATGAAAAATATGTTTTAATTTGAGATTATTTGACCACTGCTTCTACCAATAGCCAGCTGCTGCAGTGAGCTGGCACTGAAAGGAACTGATCCTTCTGGAAAGAGCTACCAGTCTGCACTGTACATTTACCTCGGAGTTACGGGGTTGAATTTTTCTTCCTTTTCTCCTTCCTTTGACTGGACTAAAGGATTTTCAATTGTAACTGCAATCAAACAGCAGTGAGTTAAGTTAAAACACTGAATGCGAATGCATGAGAAGAGAAGGAATTTTGAGAACAGAATTGTTTCCCAGGTAGGATATGGAAAAGAACATGCGTGTGCAGCAGCTTCTGTTAAATGCTTCCATTCTGAAAACATTATCTGGCCATACAGCTTGCATTATAGCCAGAGTCCCACAGGAGTCCTCAAGGCATTTAATGGAAACAAAATGACTAAAACTTGCTGTGTGCACAGTCTTCATAGTCACAGCTTTTATCCAAACACTGCATTGTGGCCAGCAGTCTTTTTATTGATGATATAAAAGCACAGACTGTAAATAAATTGAAGGTTTTTCTTGTGTTTGTTTGTTGTTTTTTTTTAATGATCATATTAATACCTATGAGTAATGAAGGCAAAGAAAAACACTGAACTACTTTGCAGAGATTATTTTTCATAATTTATAATCATGTAATGTAAGAATTTAGATCCATTTAACCATAGGTGAGATGTGGGTGGCTGCATTCAGTGGGTTTGTATTTGGTCTTTTTGTTGACACATTTACTGGTTTTGAATTTAAAACTTGGAGATCTTATTTCACTCCTCTTCATACTGAACGTAACTGAACAATTTGTTTCCAATTAAACTGCTTTCCATCTCCTCTGAGGAAAATATAGTAAAACCACAAATACATAACACTGGTTTACTGGGGAAAAAAACAAAAACACATTCAAACAGAAACATGTTGAGAATAAACTCCAACTTACCACAGTCACCAACTCTGAAGCTTTCTGAAAGCAATCGGATATATTCTTCTCTGCCCCAAGAATTGACATTAACAAAATGAGATGGTGAATCACGAATAGTGAAACTGAATGTGTATCTTTCAGACCCAATGTCTGCAAAAACAAACACTACTGTTAGCATTCACTGGCACACCTTGGTTTCAACTAGACTCGATTCTAGAATGTAAGTATAAAAACTATTGCTACAGGGTTGTGCTAGATTCTGTCGGAGAACCACTATCAGCAATGTGGGGAATACCACTAGAGGTCAGCAGACTTGTCGGTAAACACATGGAGGATTGCAATAGGCTGCCGTCCCTACAGTGGTACCTGAGTGCCCACATCACTTAACAGCACCACAGAAGCTTAACAGTCTAATGCAAGAGCAACCAAAGAACTGTAGGTCGCTAGATCCAAAGCAGTCATCCTAGGTGTTGACACACATTATCGGGCAAGACTGTAAGTGTATGTACTAAGAAACTTGTTCTGGTGGGCAGGCAGCCTGCAGAGGGCTGTGCCCACGTGTGAGAGCCAGGCGACAGACAGCAGGCTGGCTCAGCACAGTGGCACAGAGCTGCAGCCAGATGCTTCCTAGCAGAGTCTGTCCCCAAGCTGTAGGTACATTGTTTCATTATCCAATTAACTGTGTATTATCGGTGTATTATTCCCATTTTTTTCTTTATGAATATACAATAATATTGATTTGGCATTGCTCAGACCGTAAATTACTTGTTTCACTCCTTAAGAAAGGCCCTCAGCATTTCTCTGAGAGAATGGAGAGGAACAAACCATAATCAGCACCAGCAGTATGCGTGGTAGCAGTGTGTTCAGTTTGATGCTGTCTTCTTCAGACCCTGAAATACTTCCACGCTGGAGTTTTTCAGTATGGATTCTAATTGATACCGTTTAGCCAAACTAATGCTGCTCTCTTTCCTCTTGCTTCCCACCCCCCACAATTTTGGGAGGGCATTTCTATTCTATACACTTTAGACTCAGAGGTCTGTTTATCATTTAAATATCGATTTCAGTCAGACATGCCGAAGTATACCACATAACAAAATGAAGTAAAAAAGGTTTTAAAAGACTCTACTTTTTCTGTCTGGAAAGCTTCTGACATCTGTTTTTCCAATAACCACACCGATTACATTCTAAAAAATAAAAAGATTATAGAATAAGAGTATTAAACACAGATGTATATGATGAATTAGATTTCATGGACTTGTACTCTGCTGATGATAATAAGCATATTTCTGACTGGTAATCACTTTAATCTATTTATTCCACAGTACCCCATGAACAAAGGACTAAAACATAAACATACAATGTTACTTTAAAAAACGTGATTAAAGATATTAAAAGAACTACATCTGTTTCTGTTTGTAAATCAATGAGTGGACAAAAGTTCACCCCAAAACATTCATAATTCTGCCTGTTTGTGGTATCATCTCCTCAGGTAGGCAGTAATATTGTTGTTTTGTGCAGAGGCCTCATATCTCCTTAAATCCACTACGAAAAGGCTGGACAGAGTTTATTTCACAGTTAAGCACCCACTGTTCTCCCTGCTGTCACCACAGAGATGCACACTTGCATACCCACAGGGATGGCCATTTATGCCATCCTCATCTTAACAACATACATTTCTACAGTGCTTTGTGCCTTTCAAATGACCACAGTGAGACCTTAGGCAATAAACGTTTTTTGATTACGAAAACAAAACTCATCTTAGTCTGCTTTGCTAAACTTTTGGTTATTATGATAAAGCAGCCCAGTCTCAACTGCAGAACAAAACTGCTAGGAACATTCACACAACAAGATGTCCTGAGCTGTGAACAACTTACTGTGTTGAACGCAGGTAAAAACACAGTGAGTGGCCCAGAAAAGCATGACAAGCAGTAGTTTCAGACTTTTTTTAGTAATGATTAAGAAATACCACATTTTATAGTATGTTGATGTAGAATATTGTGGAATAATATACAATAATATATATTATCTGTGAGAAAAGAGCACAGAAGTGCTTCTGGGAACTTTGTCTGGTAGCGAAGACCGGAAGAGGAGAATGTCATCATAATACAGCAAAAAGAGAGAGGTGGAGAGACAAAAGGCCCTGAAGCTACAGAGCTATCTTCCACTAAGTTTCATAAACTAGCACTACATTTATTTCTCAGCGGATTACCCTAATTGCCATAAACTCCAAAAGGGATGAATTGAATGAAAGGAATGAAACCATTAAGTGCACCACACCTCTTTCACAGCACACACGTGAACTTACCTGCTGTACTCCACAACTTCCTCGTCCCAGCAGTGGAACCACAGCAGTCAATTGGCATGGGGCAGTCCAGCAATGTAATAAGCAACAACGCACTGAATTTTGCATCTATTCATAAAACACTGCAATCTGACTGACTACAAACATACAACACCCATGTGCACTCAAAAATCTAGTCTCGTGATCCCTCTGTACTTTGAATCACTAGATGGAGCAAGGTCACTGTGTTATCCCATCCTGATGGACACAAACTCATTAGAAGGATGCAGCCATTAACTGTGTAACATCCTAATTCAACCAGCCTTTCTGTAATGAATATTTTCTATCTATCTACAAGACACAGTGATTTAGATTAGAATTTTACTTTTCTATTTTTGGATTTGCTTCTTAAAGAAATAAAAATATAAAGTTCAGTTAAATCTGACTACAGTACACACTCCATCACACTGCTGGAGTGAAGAACTGATATTTAGGATGACTTTTCACACAAACTATGCTCATGTAAATCTGCAGTTTCCAAAAGAGGTCTCCACTGTGTATAAATACATTCATCGTTCTCTTACTAGTACAAAGCATGCCAAGCAAGCTAACAAAAGGAAGTGATCTGGCTGAAAACTATTGAGGGAAAGGAGGGTGCAAGAGGGCATAAAAACTTCCAGAGATCATTTCCCTGATCAATTTATTGTGCAACTGTACAAGCATTGCTTTTGCCAAAAGAGGAGGAGTGGAACATGCCTGGCACTAAGGAGTAGGGCATGCTGCCTTTTTTGGCAGGGCAGTGCTTGAGGCTGCTCGACCAAATCGTGACACCACAGCATTACAACACTGCAAGTTTCTTACAGCTCCATCTATTCTACTTTTAAAAAACAAGCTGCAAAGTAAAAAATTATAGGATTTAGATACATACTGATCAGCCTATCTTAAGATACTACCTTACTAAAAACTACCTTACTAAAAATACTCTATTTCCTGCACATTTGCTAATTGCAATACTCAATATTGGTCTTATTTGTACAGATAAAAGTTTTTAACCAAGTCAGTGAATCCCTGTATTTGGTAGTACTGGTGAGTGACAGACTAAATTAATTTTGTTGGAGAACAGGAGTTTCTAAAAAGTTGAAAAGAGCACACAGTGCCACTGCGAGAGCATCCACAACTCTCTTCCCTTGTTCATCTCTCTTCTCTGATTTCTGTTCCATTTGTCTAATGAACACTATTGCTGTTCTCAAAAGGAACAAAGGGCTAAATTGTCCCCCTTCAAATAAAAAGCTGTGGGAATAGGAAAGCTTATTTTCAGCTTTTCACAACACATCAGATCTCCTGTTGGACATACAGTTCTGTAAGCACACATCTACTTCTTGCTGCATGGAGAGATGCAGCTGTATCTGGTATCCACGTGGAAGTGCAGTTTCTCTGTTTTATTCTCCAGGCATCAGCTTCCCGCAGCATCAAATGCTCAACAGACATTATAACTAGTGGGCTAGACAGAGCAAAGGGTGGGAGACATTGCAGAGGGAGCACTGTAGCCTTCTCCCTCCTGTTTTAAAACATGATTGTGGATAGAAAAGAATTTTTAAAAATGGATCCCCAGACTTTCTAGTTACAATTCAACCATCTGTAATCCAAAAGAGAAAACGAATGAGTTACACAGCACACTCCTTTGTTCAGCTCTTGCTCCTGGGAAGATTGTTCTCATTTGTGTCAGGAACAAACAAACAAAAGAAAATCATACAGACATTCAAATATCTGCATGAAACTACCAAGTACCAACCTCTGCTGTTTGCCAAGTTTACTTTATGGTTCATCCTACACTTCTGTACTCCCACAAGCAAAGTTTTTAGCTCCTTTAATAGCCTGACAACTGCAAAACCTGCTTTTTGTCCTAAACAAACAGAAACAGTCCTATCTGAGATGTAATTGTGAGATTTTTATCCCGTTAAAACACCATACCATTCAACAAGAGTTTTGTGTGTGTAATTAAGGACTACATTAGTTAGCTCAGAGGGATTGAGCACACAAGTAAGAACTTCAGGTATGGGCCTTGTGTTCATAGCTTGTGGTGAAAGACTATTGTAGGTTACAGATGTATTGTGACTGCATAATACTGACTCTGTACATGCTTTACTAATTCTGCATCCATTTAAAACATCACAAAGAAGCCTCAGATTCTTTCAGACACTCAGTTGTCCAGTCAATATCTATAGTTGGGGTACCCACATACTATGGACAACAACAGCATCAATTTTCATTTTCCTGCTTTATACACAAAGAAAGTAAGGTACTTTATATCTAACAATTATACTAATGCTATTAGTATCTAAATACACGTCAATTACATAATTTTGCAGTAATATAATACAGTCATATACAATTTCACTTGAGAACAAAAGTACTGTGTTACTGAGACTTACAGGACGAGCAAGATTTGGATGCAGATTTGAAAGGGCAACAAAGTCCCGTGTTGAACTGGAATAAGCCATTCTTTATCTGTAATTTGAGAAAATTAATTTAGATTTTAAAAAAGATCTAAACAAATCATTTAAAACTATTCATGGGAGGAATAACAAGCAGATTTTTAACACAAATGTTTTGGCCTAAATATCATGTTTTCAATAAAAAGTATTTCAAGCTGTCTGAAGTAAGACAATCCTTTATTGTTTGCACTTGGCTAAGGAATAGTTATAAATGTTACTGCTATCTGTTTTTTTCACACAAATGTAATTTTTTTCAAAGCATTAAATAATTCCATTAGCACAAGCCTCTGAAAAATATTTACCTTCCTTTTCCTGTCTGGGAAGTCCAACTGAACTTGTTAAGGCAGCTCGTTATATAGAAGGCCATTTATGCGGGCGGAAGTATGAGTGTTGCACTGAAAACCACCTTCGTTGAGATTTTTTTATTTAACATTAAACTACTTTAGAACATTTTCAGACTGCCAACTTAACCTTGCATTCCTGTGAGCCACCCAAGTCCTCTCCATTTATACCAAAGTTGGGCTGTGGTTACTTGTTAGCCTGCCTGAAAGCCTTTCTTTATTTCAGTTCCATGTGTGTTCAGAGACGTTACTGATATTTATCAAACGGTTGTCAGATGCTACTTTTTTTTATATATATAAAAGGAACCATCAAGCCATCCAAATCTAAATAACCTTTAATACTGGGGAACTGCTGATGTTCTCAGGGGATGTCTGTTCCAAACTTTTTAGCACAAGCCTTGAATGGATTTGGTATCTGTGCACCTGGCACCCTGTGTGAGAATTGCTAAGCACTTCGTCTGTCGTTGGCACAATGATCTATCTGCTAGAAAAGCAGGCAGATTCTACTTTATAGAACATAAGCAGTTCTCAGAGATTATGAAGTGATTTCTCTAAAAAAAGACTACCGCAGAAAGTTACTTAAAATTTGCTTTATAAAAAACCACTCAGCAGCGTGACACTCAAACTACATCCATTACATGGAAGAATTCATGTTCGCTAATGTAGTCAAGTCAGCTGTCCCTCCAAGGCATGTCAGTGTTCCCATCTCTAGAGCATTTCAACACTGTTGAACGCTATACCTCACACCACAAGTGAGTCAGCTGGGGGCATATGCATCAAAGGACAATCAGAGAGGCAATTAAAGATTTAAAACACCACAGACCCTGACCAGCGGAGCAGCTCCTGCCCTGTTGTACCGATTTATCCTCTGCTCAGGGGCAGGAGCTGAGCCCCGAGCTCAGCCGAAGGAACTGTCAGCACCTGCTCAGGATCAGATCTCCTGAGAAAAAAGACAAGATTGGAATTCAGAATAAATTAAAAACACTGAAACCTTTGGCACGACCACCCGTCCCAAACGGGTGTCTGGCAGCAGAGGAGCTGGCGCCCTCAGAGCTCAGCGCTGCACAGATCTTCCTTGCGTGGGCCCACCATTGCCCTCCCACCCTGCCCTGCTCTGAGCAACACGTGGCTGCTGGCCCCACACTGCCAGGGCTGGGCAGGAGGAGCACTGACCTCACCTGCTGCCCACAGGTGTGGAGAGAGAAACAGAAACCCAAGAGTGGAATGGGCCGCCCTGAGAGAACCGAGACAAAATGGCGCTGGGAGCCGAAGGCGGGAAAAAGACGAGCTGGGTGTGAGGGCTGCTGAGCTGCTGTGCAGCAGGCACCAACCCTGGCCTCCAGGAACAGCTGCCAGGACAAAGCCAAGAAACACCAAAACGCAGAGCCTCAGGCTGACGGTTTCCACCTACCTGACCAAAGAGGCTCAGGCCTGAGCACAGTGCTGTCAGCTTCAGCTGCACTGAGCTCAGCATCCAACCCAGGGCTGAGGGTGCAGAGCTGCAGTTCCTCTTAGCAGACGTATTTACGAACACTGTGACCCGCAGGGCTGTGCCCAGCGCACCTCCACACCTGCACACCCTGCCCACAGCCCTGCCACTGAAGATGCCCAGCAGATGAAAACCAGCCCTCTTCTGCTGCGATGCAAAACACACAAAACGCCACCAAGCCCAAGCAAATTTCAGAAAGCTCTGGAAGAACCATTCTCTGCTTATTGTGTTGTTTTTTCTTTTTTGTTGTATGTTTGGTAGCTCTAAGACAAAAAAGCAGCCTGCCTTTCATAAATGAATTGGGATTTTTGCTCTAAGGCACTGTATCGATTTGCACATACCGCTCCTGGGTGTGGAGGGAACTGAAGTGGGCCATTTTGATCATTTATATTGCATTATAAAATTATACATTTTTAAAAATCGATGCCCTTCACTTCTGTATCATAAAAAAATGCTACTGTTGATCAGTGATTTCATGGCCTCAAGGTCGCAGCTATTGAAGTTTTTAGCACAGGCAGACAAATTCTCTGGGTTGACTGTATTACGGGATCTTTCATTTCTTCAATTAAACAGCTGAAAATGGACACCGCCTCTGCTCTCATATTTATTGTGTCACTAAAGTCCACGATAATTACACCGTGCTGATGACAAATGCATGCCAGAGAACTGACAGCTTGGGTGCTGGGCTTTTTAGGACACGTTTTATACAGCAGGATCTATAGCTCTAACTTTGTTCTGTATGTTTAAAGTCTCTAAAATCAGGAAGAGAACACAGCCATGGTTCATTTTTCTGTTAATTCCATTGTTTTCAGTATTTCGAGCTAATGAACAGAAAGCAGACAATGAATATGGTGATGTGATCCTAATCAGTTAGGAAGAACTTATGCTGGATAATGCTTCCGGAGGTGCAGGGCTCGTGCTTAACACCATGACTGCAAGGCAAACCAGACGCAAATAACCGCACTGAAACGAGATCTGCAGGTTCTGCACTGCTGCAGAGGGCGATCACAGGATCATGCCCCATGTGCTGGCAGGTGTCGGATTTGGTGGGTTTTAGTGGGATACGAGGGCCTGCTTTGCTGAAGGAAGTGGCAATCCAGTGCTGGTGCCCAGCACAGGCACCACTTTCCTTAGGCTTGGTCCCACTGAGCTGTTTATCTCCCACAGGCACAAAGGACAGGTGAAACCCGAGGCTACCAGCACTGAGTCTTTGTTTGGACTCAGAGCTGCCAGAACAAGGGTTCTGTTGTGCATTGCTCCTCAGCATCCCCACAGCCTCAGGAGGCATTTAACAATTGCCCTGCATTCTACTCCTGGTGCTCGCTCCCTTTTTGAGCACATCTACATTTTAAAAATAAGATGCATTTCATTTTCCCGTAGTAACTTCTTCTAGGATATCATTCTCAGGTGTGTCCAGAGGCAAGGAGCAACACAAAGGGATGCACCCAGCCACAGCACAAAGGCATCTGAGGGAGAGGGCATGAGAACTGAGCATTTCCCTGGAAGACGTGATTAGATGCCAAGTTTCCAACTTACACATACTGAGACATGAATACATGTGACTGATGCACCTATCTGGCAGCAATGCTTTGACTTCTGCCATTTGTCAGGCACATGGCATGGAGGGGGGGGACAGTCAGCAATTTGGAATACTGTAGGTTACTGTGAGCTGCTAACATCTCTATTGGTGCTTGTAATAAACAAACGTCTCCAACCAGAATGTCTCCCACTAATATGCAATACCAGCAGCTTCTCCAGGTGTTTTTAACAGCAACACTGAAGTGAGCTTGCAGAAATAGAATTTGCTCAGCTTTACTAAGGCTTTTCTCCTCAATTAACCTCAAAATGCTCTCATAAAGTAGATCAGCATCATTATCTCCATTTGTCAACCAGAAAAACAGAGGCAAGAGAAAGACTAAAAGCAGTTTCCCAAGGGCCAGGTTTCACACAAGTACCTTGGGCACATCCACCCAGCTCCATATGAGTACCAAGCCCTGTGAGAGGGCTGCAAAAGAAGATCAATATTTTTCTGATCTAGTGCTTGATCCCTGAGAGGTCTGAGTGATTTCAGCTCTCCAGCACATCAGGAGCACTTAGCACTCTGTCGATTCAACCTGTGATTAGCAGAGACTTCCCATGCACAGCTGCACGCTGAATGGTCCCTGCTAATTAGTCTTTCATGAATGGATTTATTTAAATTACACTCATTGGTATGGTCAAGGAGTGCAAATGCCATTTTGTAATTCACTTAGCAATTTGTTATGTGACAGTACCGTTTGCACGCAGGGGAAGCTATCCCTGTCTAGCAATAGCAGGGCCATTCCTGAAATCGTCTTCAAAGGGATCTCCAAGGTTAGAGCAAATCAAAATATTTGCAAGTTTTACACTGAACACAGCTTTTACTTTAATTTAACATTTGTACACTCTCAGGACCAAAAGAATCTGTGAAACAAAAAGGGCAGACCTGTAAGTGTATGTAACTGGCCTGGCTGATTGCATTAAAAGCAGCACATTATTAAAGGTATTCCCTTTTCAACAGCTTTGGCTGATACCTGAACTGGATAAGAATGGGGTGTGCTGATGAAGTAGTGATGGACATCTTTAGCAGAAGCAGTGCAGGTGCTGATGTCGCCAACAGGTGCTCAGCGTGCTGAGCGATATTTAATCTAGATTTCTCCCTGTCACTGCAGTCTTTGTTAATCTCTTGCTTTGCCATGCATCTCCCCCATTCTGATCTGCAGCTCTGGACTCATCCCAGTTCTATTTCAATAGGAGTTTTTCACTCTGTGCAACCTTCTGAAGCCCAGGAAGATGAAGCAACCTGGAGTTTTATTTGAAAATGAAAAGGAGCATGAACCATGGCTGGTTTCAGCTGCTTTGGTCCAGGGAAAACACAAAGATCTGAGGCTGATGCATCTGCAAAGCAGCAGTGTGAGTGCTTCTTGTGTGCAAGCACAAGCCATGGGACCACACGTTGAGGACTTGGGGTGGGGATACCGAGGGCTCCCTTTTGCCCTACTGCTGACAAAGAAGAAAAAAGGCTGTCTTGAAGGTGTAAAGCTATTTAGGATGTGTAAGTGCTGCCCCTTCCAGCTGTTCAGGAAAGACAGTTTTCTGAAACAACAGCTGCTCACAAGACATTGTCTCCCAGTTCCCTCTGATGAATTCACAGAAAACCTCTTAAAACCAATCCAGCCTTCCCCTTGGGCAGGGAGCTACAGCATCTGGGGGCCGTGAGAGCAGCAAGGTCCACGCTGGGGGATGGTGGCACGGCTCGCTCTGCGTGGTTGGCCCTGGATGCCCGTTCATCAGCAACCTCAGCTCATAATGAATTCAGAAGTAATTAATCCCTTCTGCTATGCTCACGCAATGCCGTGACGTCACGTAAATTGTGCAAGCTCAGCGAGGAGAGAAAACCACCGGTGCCAGAACATGCTGCAAAACCTGCTCATTCTGGCCACTGCTGAATTCTAGCAACAAAGGAAACACCACAACTGAAATGCTCAGAACCAGGCTTTGGCTGAGGATTGTAGGGAAAGCAGTCTGATGGTTACCTCGCCAAAAGCTGCATAGATAAAAAAGTGCTTTTTTTTCTTTTCTTTTATTTTTTTCTTCTTTTTTTTTCTGAGACCCAAGCAGCACACGAGCACCCAGGCTGTGGAGGATAATCTCTCCCCTACATTATTCCAAATACATTTCAGTAAAGTCAGTGTAATTACTTGGATTTTCACCACTTTCCTCAAGACCAGAACTTCCTCATCCCTCTATGTGCAAACAAATGATGAATAATTTCCAGCAAAGCACCATGAATTAAAAAAATACAACAATTAAAAATAGTTTTAGTGACAGCTCCCTGACACTAGGGAAGAATGCTTTAGGAGAAGAAGAATGATATTTAGCATTGGTTGGCTGCCATTCAAACATTTTCAGCTATTGGAATCAATGAAACCAAACCCAAATAAGTTCTGTTTGGATTTCAGATTGATACATGTGATATTCAACAGTACCAATTAGGCTGCGCATGACAGGAGCCCTCCAGCAACATAAGTGAGAGAAAACCCTTCCAAACTTCAGTTTCCAACCAAGTCTAAAACTCAATCCCTTTTCACCATGCCTGAGCAGATCGTAAGGAAGAAAATTGGGGATGTAAATCTCACAGACAGATGAGGATGGCTGTAAGAGAACACCGGAATCATAGAGTAAATAACATTTTCCCCCACCACAGTTTTCAGTGAACAGAACATTAGAGAAATAGAAACGATCTGTCCAAGCTAAACTTTCCTGCAAAAATATACCTTTGATCTCCTGGCCGAGTGCTTGGCCCTGGAGCCAGTGGCAAAGTTCCCATTACCTCCAAAAGCCAGGACTGCTTCCAGCTCCTTCCTATAGGTAATGGCGTGTCAACATTTCCATGGTACGCCTGGCTGCCCGTCAGCCAGCTAGCTAGA